AATATTAGTTCGGGGTTAACCTGAATCCATCTTAGTTCGAAAATTCCTGACAAGTCTAGTTCTGAAAGATCCTACAGCATCCCTATACATAGAAAGCGAAAACTTTCGTTTTAGTGCATTAGTTATTCCTCACAAATATCACAACTTAATGAACTTATTACCCAAATATTAAATATTACCTCTTGCCACTACCTGATTTCGATGGCTTCTCTCCAGCTTGGTAATAATGTATATGACTCCTTCCATAATCTTATGGGGATGTTCAGGTGTCAAACAGAAAAACTTTAGGTTGAAGTAGTAACCTAAACATACATAGATAGAGAAAAGTCATTTAAATTTTCATTAAAAAAATATTTTAGAATTAAACATTCTAAGGATATATATGTATATATATATATATATATATATGTACCTGCATAATGAATTGGACAGTCAAATTTGGTGTTCCACCTTTCTATAATCTTGATCACTTACTAGCAAAACTTCACTTCTATACAATAGCTAATTTGGCCCTCTCGATACCTTCATAAAGGATGCCTATGGTAGCTTTCTTGTCAGCATCCACCATTCTCAACACCGTGACAAAAAAGGCAGTGGCCTCTACGATACTCGAACATCGAAACCAAAACTTCCTAGCTCTATGCCCTCCACTTTTAGCCCATTATTGGACTTCGAGACGCGGTCATTTGACCACTCTTCACTGGTAAACAATCTCTTTAATGCAGCCTTGAATTCCTGAATGGAGTCCACAGCCAAGTAATCTATCGCGAAGCTGGTTATGGCAAGTCTGATTTCTCTTTTTTCTTAGATTGTTCTCTGAACAACAATAAGATTTTAGAGTGGTTATATATAAATCTTGACACCAACCTCGCTTCGTATAGAGTCTCCTTCACAATTTTGATCTTACCGATCTCCTCTAACATAAGATCGATGTTGTGTGCAGCACACGAGATCCATACTAGATGCTTCCTCTTATCCATCAACTTGCTGCCCGTAGAAACACAAGCACACGCATTGTCCGTAATAAACTGAACCACATGCTTATCTCCCACCTCCTCCACTATCTGGTCATATAGTCGTATCAAGAAGTTTGCATCCTTCTTTTTCCTTGAGACATCTTTGCTAGATAAAAAAGTTATACCTTCTGGGGAATAGGAGAAGTTAAGATACTCCTTTTTGCTAACTATATTCAACCAACCATCACTCATGAGAGTATGCATGTTCTTGGCCAACCCTGTTTATATTCTTCAATCCACTTCCTAACTTCACCTGCCTCTTCATCCAAGATCGGCCCACTGAGCTCATATGCAGTTGGGGGCTTTACCCCAGGCACGGCTCTCTGGATTGCGTTGACCATAGGTGGTAAATATGGGCTATTGGATGCATCAAAGGGGATTCTGTTATCGTAGATCCATTTACCAACATATCTATCCAACATGTTCCTTGTAGCATTCACCATGTCTTTGAGGGTCATCTGTTGTGACTTGGGCTTTGAGAGAATATACGACCATGACCTGCAATACTGGTGCTCCTAGATAAACCAGGAACAATTGTACCTCTGAAAACATATTGCCACCAACCCCTCCATACGTATTCTAGCTGGGCCCGCCATACATGCTCGAGTTGGGCCCGCCATGCATGCTCGAGCTGGCCTCGCCATGCATGCCCATGTCATAACCACCAGGCATTCTGAACCTGCTTTCCCTCTGGTACATTTCGTGTAAACTCATTCTTGCGGCCATCTCCAAGTCATTATTATATTGCTCTTCTGGATCAATCCTGCTCAATGACATATATAAGCCAGTTATCTCCTCATCCATCCTCTGCTTTGCAATTTTTTTACCTTTGGTAGCCTTGAGAGTGGCCGCCATTTGCTTTCTTACATTACTAATGCTATTATTGCACGCAGAAACGTCTCCCTTCACCCTGCCAAGTGTTGCTTGAACCTATGTACCCAAACTTATCACTTTTTGGCAGTAATTACAAATGATTTAATCTTTTTTGTTGGGATCAAGTCTGACCTCATGTTGCTATGCAAGGTCTTCCTTAGATCTTGCCATGATTTAACTGTTTTAATATGTAAATGGTAAAAATGAACCGAACAATTCAACATGAAAAATAATCACCATGTGTAGTGATAATGTGTAGGGGTAGTTCATGAAGTTATCTTTGTTGTTAATGCAAAATACTTCTACTGGCAAAAAATATTTTAGTTCCTACTGGGAAAAATATTTTATTTATGCAACATTATAGATAAAAAATAGTCTGTATCAGCCACTACATATAGAACAAAAAACTTTCAATGATATAGTATTAAAAAAAAAATCTATTTACAATGTTATAGTAATTCACAATGCTAGTACATATAGACTCGTCACAAATCTTCATTTAGACAAGCATAAATTAGTTCCAACTGGGAAAAAAAAATTATTTATACAACATTATAGATAAAAAGAGTATGTATAAGTCACACTTAGAATTAAGAAAACAAAAAAATTACATTAATATAATCATCCATAATGCCACTACACGTAGATTTGCCACAAAGAATAGTTACAATGATATAGTCATTCACAATGCCACAAATAATATTTACAATGATATAGTCATTCAAGAAATATAATTATAAAATATGTATCAACAATATACATACATTTTATATATCTACATCCATTTTTTTGCATTAAAAATTTAACAATAAAATTGAAAAATACAAGTTAATTTAATCACTGGTTTTCATGATAGCACCACCTAGCCTACTTACAAAACCTCTTTTAAAATTAGTTTACAGCAAGTATACACCAATATGTGGGCACAATCCCAAGATAAAAATGAGCACAAATAGTCCTACAACTCAATTACAAAAACTCTTCAGTCAATTGTGCAAAATTATAATGCAAACATCAATACAAAACTCAGCAATTATATATCAAAAAAATACATACATTTCGATCTCGATCACGGTTCCCGAAAAACAGGTATTTTTCCCCCATTTAGCAAATTTTTGGTTCATATCATGGGGTTTTAGTTTTTTATGATGTTATTCACGAATATTTGTATCTCATTTTCTCTTTTTTGGTCGATTTTTTATTTTGAGTCATGGTTTTGTCAAGAACAGTTAAGGTCTTTTTTTTTTTCCCCGCCAAACTACAAATTTGAGACGAATTGAAGCACCATTATGAATTTTTCTTTATTCCTTGCAGGCTGAATTTTCATGCTTCTATACTTGGTGATGGTTTGAATAACACTGCTTCCTTTTGAATTTCTTCTTTCTTTTCTTGCCGTACAGATTTCAAATTATTCAAGACATTTTCAATTCTAGTAGTTTGTTTTCCTATAGTTTGTAGGAAGAGATTTGTGTAATTATTTTGTTCTATGATGTGTGGTATTCCTTCTAATTTGACCATATGATTTTCAGATTCCTTAAGCCCCAACTTAAAGGGCGAAGTTTTAGTTTCAAGCTTCTCTCCTTTTAATTGTAAACTCGTTTCTGGGGGATGGATAGATTCGACCGTTTCACCTTTGATAGTGTGAAAGGTCTGAAAGGCCTTTTCAGCCATATTTATTTTAAACTCTGGAAGCTTAATCCCTTCTTTTTTGAGGATATACTTAAGCCATTTGAAGAATTCCACATTCCTTCTATGTTGTATCATAAATTTATTAAACTTTTTATGAAAACCATCCCTTAATTCTTCTTTAAATTCTTGGAAACACCATTCCCTTATTTGTCTATTTTCTTCTGAAAGGAAATCTCTTTTAATCCATTCTTTATCAATGACAAACTCGTCTTGACTCTGGATTGTATGTAGATCAAAGTCAACTTCTGATAGGGTTGGCTCTTCTGGTTCAGTTTGAGAAGAACTAGGAGTGTTAACTCTATATACTGGATGTTGGACTTGATTTGAAGCCTTTCTAAGTCCTTCTATGATTATTCTTTCATTATGGGCTTTTTCATAATCTGATTGAGGAATAGAGAAGGTTGAGGTTCTAGACGGATTTCTAAGAAGTATATTGGAAATACTTAGTCTAATTTTTCTAAACGATGGAAATTGTATTTCAATTTCTCCATCAGGTAGAATTCAATTATTTGTTCAGGCTCTCTATTTTCAAGAATCTTAGTCTGATTTTCAGACTGAAGAGACCATCTTTCAAGATACAAACTTAGATATAACCAAATTAGATTTATCCATATTCGATTGAAAGAAAATGGTTTGACCTTTTATATCCATTTGCCTCTCGTTTGGACATAGAGTGGTCATAACTTTATAACAGAGTCTATAAACAAAAGCTAAGTTTTGAGATCCAGATCCATATCAAAACTTTGAGTTTTTAGATTCAGAGTTAAAACCTTCAAAAGATTTGGATCAAATAAGGCCACCGAAAAATTCAGGAGCAATTAAAATATATAGGACCATTGCAAAGAGTTGATTCAACGATTCCTAATAAAGAAACGGGGAACCTTTTATGTCTGTTATCCCTTAAGCAAAGCAAAACAAAGTTGTTTAACCCTGTCCTGATTAAGGGTTTAACAGCTATCTGGACTAGGCCAATATGCAGATAGTTAAAATCTTTTCTTTTATGTTCTTCAACCATCCTTGAGGTTAGGAGTTGGAAACTATCTTGAGTTTCCATGACAGAAATAGTCTTCTTAATAGTTTTAATTGAGATGCTACTTTTGAAATCAAAAGTCCCCTTTTTATAAACATCCGTTATAGGTACTTTTGGGGTGTTCCAATTTTTTATTTGTTTTTCAATATTATCGATAATAACTTCTTCCTTATTATTTACAAAAAGTGTGCTGGTAGAAGCTGTCCTACTAGATAGTGTCCTGAACAAATTTGCCACATTCGATTTTATAATCTGAATCTGAGTCAACTGGAAACAGTCCCTACACCTTCCCTGCCTTCTTGCTCAACGGCGATCTTTGGGTCACAGTGACTTTAGATTTGACTGAAAAATCTAAATTTGCACAGTTAATCAGTTCACCACTAAATAGAACTTGGGTCTGATACCATAATATATTATCTAAACTCGTTTATATATTATGTAATATATATAATATATATTAGATAGTTGCGGATAATGACAATCTGGACGATCAAGGGTCCAGCGTGTTCCCCTTAGCGGCTCATCCTGGCCTTGGCGGGTACTTTGCCTAGACTTGTCCTTTCGTCTCTTGCCTTAACTCTCGGACCAACTTTTTCAGGGGCAAATTTAATTAGGAATCTTAAAGGTAATAATACAACTTCATCTCAAACACTTAGAGTTAAAAATAAGGAACAGATCATAATAAATGATATTGAAGATCACATTCAGAATTGGAATATTCCCAAGGTACCAATAACAGATATTTATCATAAAGGATCATGTAAATTTAAAATGGGTTATGCTATAAAGACAGTAGAAGAAAGCTTGTCTGTTACACAGAATCAAGAAGACTTTCAACTACTATCTAAAAAAGTTATTGAAAAACATAAGGAAAATCATTACAAATATTTACACATTGGCCTTATTCAAATAGCTATCAAACCTTTAACCCGATTAGGGTTAAACACTTCAGTGCTTGTATGCCTAAGAGATACAAGACAATAATTTCACTGATTCACTCTTAGGCATGGTTGAATCCAGCCTGTGTAGTGGACCAATATATTTTAACTGTTTTCCGAATTTTTCAGTTTCTTTAACTGACCCAAATATCTTAGATATACTATCAATAAATCTGAAAACCTATGGATTTAATATGTTACATGGTCCCAAAACTTAGCCATAGTATACAGAGTATATTATAAAGTAATGAATACTCTTTGTCCCAATATTATGAGAATGGATAAAAAAGAC